GATTGCGAAGATTTTCGCAATCAAGGTAAATACAAGAACTTCTTCCCAAAGTCTCTTTCGCTCCTCCATTGTCTCTTTAGCAAAATCTTCATTTATATATATTCCACTTCCTTTTAGATTTTTAAGTGAACTTAAGATTTTATTTTTATCTTGGTAGTTCAATAGTTTCACGACGATAGTTCTTGGTGTTTTGTCTTCTTTATACGACCCAATTCGATGTGCTCGTTCCACAATAACTTCGCTTGAAATTTTAAGATTATTTGTAAAAATATTTTTCACAGATTTCTCACAGTCACTCCAACTTTCTCTTGGCATATCTTTCAGACCATCGATTCTTATGTTGTTACGACGAGAACGGTTTTCTAAGTCAGTATTTTTTTTATTTAAATTTTTAATTTCAAGATCATATCTCTTTCTTATTTGTGTTAATTCTTCCTTTATTTTTTCTTCTTGAAAGTTGAGACTTTCTTTCACATCGTTTACGTCCTTTTCAAAATTTCGCATATTTACTTTGTTGATATTTAATTCATTTTCAATTTTGTCGAGTCTATCAGTAATTATTTTTATATTTCCACTTACTATTTGTGTGAGGTTTTTTTCTTGGTCTTTTAACAGTCTTTCTGTTTCTTTGAGCAAACTTCTTTTTTGTTCTTCAAACTTGTTAGTAATAATTTTTTCGATATTTTTGATCGTTATTTCCATTTTTAAAATTAATATTCTTGAAAAGCAGTCAAAAACACGTGCGTTCGCGGCAAAAACTTTTTGAGAAAAAAACTTTTAGGTAGAGTTTCTGCTGTTACATCTGGTATTGCTGTTGTAAGTACTCAAAATTTCACAAAGTTCTAAAATGCTGTAAGTTATTTTCATTTAAATTTAAATTTTAACTTTATTAAAGAATTCTCTGTCTTCTTACGCAGTAATTTCTTACGCAGTAATTTACTAATCGCCCTTACGCAGTAATTTACTAATCGGTCTGTAAATTAAGCAATAGTTTTAAACAGATGAATTAATTGGATTCTATGATCTTTTATGCATATTTGCAAGGAGTTTTTTTTAATACAACCCGAAATTAGACTAGGTTAATAAGTAAAAGCACTTCAGTCTGTAAAATTAATGATTCTAGATAATCCCGAGAGTTATAAAAAAAAATTATGGCTTTAGTTTTCTTATAGTTTTGCATCCCTATCAAAAATTTCAAGTCAAATGTAATAACAGTTAGAAATTATGAAATACATTCGTAGTTAAATTGCGCAGTTGATTTGTGCAATCCTTTTGCAGTAACTTACTGACCGGTCTGTAAATAATGCAATAATTTCAAAATGATGTTTTTTCAGATTCCATAATTTTTTTATGCATATTTGCACATTGTAACCCTAATTTTTGATCTTCATTGCATAATTAAATAAGTAAAAACACTTTAGTCTGTAAAATAAACGATTCTGTATGATCCGGACAGATTTAATAAAAACTGGATCACTATTTAAAATTTAAAGACAAATGTAAAAACAGTTCAAAAATATCAAAAATTTAAAAAATATATCAAAAGTATAACGGTTCAAAAATATAAAATGTATTTAAAGTCGATATGTCCAACGGGTCATCGACATGACCCGTCTGTAATTTATGCAATAATTTCTGTCTGTAAATTATGCAATAGTTTTCAAATGATGTATTTTTTGGACTCCATGATTCCTTTATGCATATTTGCATAATGTAACCCTATTTTTTTTCCTCATAACACAATTAAATAAGTTGAAACCCTTCAGTGTGTAAAATAAACGATTCAGGATAATCCCGACAAATTTAATAAAAACTGGATCACTATTTAAAATTTCAAGTCAAATGTAATAACAGGTCAAAAATATCAAAAATTTTAAAAACATATCAAACTATTTAAAGTTAATATGTTCAATTTGCAGTCCATTTTCAGCAATTTACTAACCGATCTGTAATTTATGCGATTACTTAACTGATTGTTCTGTAAATTATGCAATAGTTTTCAGATGGTTTATTTTTAGGATTCCATGATTCCTTTATGCATATTTGCTTGGTATAATTATAATATGATCTCAAATTTTATTTTCCAAAACTAAAAAAAATAATATAAATCTTAAGGCTCTCTTAAGGGGTTTTTATTGATTTATCCAAAGCTTTCGACACAGTAAATCATGAAATTCTTTTGAAAAAATTAGAAAACGGTTTTAAAAATCAAAGTTTACTTTGGTTTAAATCATACCTAACTAACAGAAAGCAATTTATACTTAAAGAATCAAAAGACTCAAAAAACAACTTAATAACTTGACGAGTACTCCAAGGTTCTAATTTGGGACCATTATTGTTCTTACTTTATATAAATGACTTATATTTATCATCAAAAGTATTAAATACTATCTTATTTGCAGATGACACTAATTTGCTTTATTCTCACAAAGGTATTACGGTTCATTTTAAAATATTTAACGAAGAATTAGACAAGATCAACGAGTGGTTTATAAGTAACCGACTATCATTAAATGTAGAGAAAACAAAATTTATCCTATTCCATAAACCTAGTAAAGCCGAGAATATTCCTCTTAAACTACCCAATCTTTTAATCAATAATAAAATAATTAAAAGAGAATTGACTACAAATTTCTGGGAGTGCTCTTAGATGAAAAATTGTCATGGAAATTTCAATTAAATATATTGAAGGTAAGATCTCAAAAAATATTGGCATGTTATATCGAACAAAACCTTTTTTTAATAACGAGTCTTTAAAAAATTTATATTTTTCGTTTATACGCAGCTATCTTTCATACTGTAACATTTCCTGGGGTAGCACTAATCACACTAAACTCAAAAAAATTATAGTAAACAAAAACATGCTTGCAGGATAGTATTGTTAGCAAATAGAAAAACACAATGCGAACCTCTCTTACGTCAGGTTAGAGCTTTAAATATTTATAAGCTTAATATTCATCAAGTAATGATATTTATGTTTAAAGCAAAACTTGGGTTTTCTCCAGAAACATTTCAATCCTACTTTAATGAAATCTCCCATAAATATCCTTAAACTGCACTTTGCAAAGTTTAAAGGATGATTCAAAACGGCATTTACTGAACATGGAATTCGATATATTAGATTTCAAATATCTTTTTTGAAAACAATTTAAAGGTTTAAACTAAATCACTTAAAAATAAATTATATCTTTAACACTTTCTTTAGCTTTTATTAAAATGGTTTCAAACCATTAGTATAAAAGATAACGAAAACAAAATTGTCTTTTTCGTTCATATTTTTGATGATATTAAATAATCAGCCCAAATACTTATGTTTACATATATTGCTTTTTTTTTTTAATTAAACAACGCATTTTTTTTGTGTTTTTATAACTTTCATGATTTTCTGTCGTTTTTACTTTTTTATTTTTAAAATTATTCTGCTGAAAGATTGTTAGCAACAAATTATTTTATTGCTGAATTTTATTGCTGATATTTTTAATAAGAAAATTATGGAGTTTTATTTTCTTATAGTAGGTGGGTCGCTATGGAAAATTTCAAGTCTAATGTATTAACGGTTCAAAACTTATTCTAAATTCAATAATACTCTCATTTTTGGTGCCATAACACAGCGAATTTCCCATACTTAAGTTTTATATCTTTTTGTCAAAAAATCATATATTTTTCCACTACAAAAAGTTCAAAAACTTTTGATCTCCTTAACTTCAAAGGCCGAATGACCCCTCATTTTTTAAGTCAAGCCAAGCTCTATACAATGACATCAATTATACTTGAATTACAAAAAAATCGTCTGGAATGGCTAGCTCTGAGAAAACTTTTTATAATTTTTGTAGATTTTTTCATCATCTTTATTTTTTGATTTCAAAAATTTTACGTAAAGTTTTTTTTTTTTTTTTTTTGATGCTTTAATTAAAGTTATTGTCATCCATAGATTCTTATATCCTTTGTTTTTTATTTCTGTAGTTGCTTTTTGGGCATCTCAGTGGGCACGGACGTAAAAAAGACGTCTTTTAAACGTCTTATATATGTTTTGGACGTCTTTTGAATGTCTTTTGAACGCTTTGGACGTCTTTTGAACATTCAAAAGACCACTGGGATATATTATCAAAGATATTTTGAAATGTGCTTGAGAAATTATCAAACGCAATATTATCTGTTGATGATTAAACACACAGGTCAACACAAATTTTTTTTTGTTGACGAGCAAACAATTAGTTTTTTTTTTTTTATAGCATTTCTCATTTTAATTTCAAATATGCAACTCATTTTTCACCATCACGTCAAGTTGTAAAGATATTTGGGTTCAAATCTTTAGTATTTAGGGTAAAATCCCTAATATTGTTGAAAAAAAAGTTATTAAAAAATATGTCAACCTGGGTCTCAAAATAAACGTATCTTCATAGAGATTTCAAAAATATTATTTATTTGTAATAAAAATAAGTACTTTTTGTATTTTTACTGAAAAACATTTTGTTATAATTTTTTAAAGAGTCCAAAGCATTTTTTAACATAATTTTTTTGTCAGTAAGTTTTAAGGGAAAATATTTGTTTTCTATAGTCTCTATGAAAATACTTTTCTTTTGAGAACCAGGTTGACTTTTGAATAACTTTTTTTTCGATAATATTAGGGACTTTACGCCTAATACTAACGATTTGAATCCAAATATCTTTACAACTTGACGTGATGGTGAAAAATGAGTTAAAATCAAAATGAGAAATGCTATATTTAAAATGAGAAATGCTATAAACATTTTTTAGTGTCAATATTAGATAGTACTTCGCGTGCTATATGGAAAACTGGAAAATGATCAGAAATGTCTGCAAAAAAAAGGCCTGATTCAAATTAAGTATTTAGGGAACTGTTTTAAAATATTCTCAACCACAGAAGATGATTGGTTAATAATACGTGTGCGCTTAAATATGGAGGGTATTATATTAAATTCAAATAGTAAATTGAAAAAGTATTTTATGTTTGCAAACTTTTCATAACATAATGCGCCCATATTGTATCTCCCGCGAAGAAAACGTGCTCGTTTTGTTTACTCATTTGAGACATAAAATTTCTTAAGATATTAAGGAAGTTAACTTGTTTACCACATGGCGGTCGATACAATCAGGAGATTAAAAACGATTTACCAGAAGTATTTAACACTTTAATGCACAAAGTTTCAATATGTTTATTTGTTTTTGAAAATGTGTTGTTTTTTTTTAAATTCAAATTTATCAAGAATATTTTCCACCTCTCTTGCTGATTACACGTGGTTGACTTTTATATGAATCTAAATTGTATAGGGAATTTTCGCACATGGTTAACATAGGTAACAATCAATTCAAAAGCAAAAGTTTTAATGTTAAAAATTAATCTTTTTTACATTTTACTTTTTTTAGGTTTTACATTTATTAATATTTTTTTTGTTTTGGAAATTTTAATAATAGTGTTTTCGAAAAAAAACAAAAACATTAAACTTACTATCTGTTAGAAAATCCAACAAGTTTTATTTATTTTTTCCATTTTTATATAAATCTAATAATAAAAAACAAAATAATACATTACTGTAATAATTTTTGTTTATAGAATTGGTCCTCCGATCTGCCTCGTACTTCGCTTGTCGACAGAAAAACAGAAATTAGGTACCAAAAATGCTACACTAATTTAACAATCAGCATCTATTTATTTTTCATTAAATTTGACCTGTGCATAGAAAATGCATGTAGAAAATTATCTAAATAATAAAAATAGGGTGCAACTATTTCTTCGACTAAAAACTCATTTGAGAACAGCAACCAAATTTTCATGCAAAATATTTAGCAAAATAGTCCATAAAAAAGTATTGTAACCATACATAAAAACCATATAAAAATCAACCTCAACTTTTCTTCTTTTAAAAAGTAGTTTGGATTTATATGTTTCTAAAAAGAATTTCCTCCAAAAAACGTTTGCCTAAGGCTACCTAAAAAAAGTGTTATAATCAGTATAACACTAATTAAACTATTTGCTTCTATTTCTTTTCCTGTGAAGCTCGGCATGTTTATTGAAAAGGCATGTAGGTTAGGCATGTAGGTAAGGCATGTAAGGCTATTAAAAACGAACTGCGTTTCCTGATTATTCTTTTTATGACTATGATTCCAATTACTATAGTTTTTTTTATTATTAAATTCTTAGTTTTGAATAATAATTTCCGTCGCGTCCGTTCATTGTTTACTTTTGCAAAAAAGAACGGACGCGATGGAAACGTTGATGTCATTTTCAAAAACGCTTAAAACTTCTTAAGAAACCATACAAAAGAAATCATAAATCTTATGGTTTAAAAGTTGCAAAACTTTTTAAATAATAATAATATAACCAAAAAATTGATATTTTTTTAAAGTTAGTATTAATTGTGAAATATAAAGCTAAATAATTTAGCTATAACTTATGGCATTTACTTTATTTTCATTTTACATTTTTACATTTTAAAAAAAGTGTTGAAGTGCTTACTTTTGTCAATCTTTTTTCTTTAACTAACTTCCCAACTTACAATAGCGTCCTAAAGTTTAAGGACAGTCAGATAATTTTTACTGAATATAGCTAAAAAATTTATTTATCTGAAAATAAAAACATTTTTTCAAAATAACATTTAATGACATAATTCTGAGGTTAAAAATTCAAAAACACTTACAGTTTTATTAACTAAAATTAACATGTGGTGTGATTAAAAAAACAATTTTTCTGCGGTTCAAAAGTTCAGGGACACTTTTAAAATTATGCTTTGGGGTTGCTTCAGTTGTGATTTAATCAAACCTTTTCTTCGTATAGAAAAAATTATGGATCTGCATGTATATAAGGACATCATCAATCGTAAAATGCTTTATCATGCTAAGGATAAAATGCCACGAGAGTAGATATTCAACAAGACAATGGCCCGTACTGCAATCTCTGTCAAGAATTTCATTGGCAGCAAAAAACTCGTGTTCTTTAGTGGCCATTACAAAGTACTGATCTCAATCCAATTGAGCATTGATGGAAACACCTAGATCGTCGATTAAAAGGTCGAAACCAACAAATAAGAATGATTTATTCGCTTTAACTGAATCAGAATGGCCAAAGATTCTATTAGATGTTATAGTCAAGCTAATAAACTCAATGCCTTGTCGTTACTATGTTGTTATTGATTCTAAAGGTTATCCAACGGAATACTAACATTTTGAAATCCAATATAATTTCTTACAACCATTTATGTTAATTTTAATTAATAAAAATACAAATGTCCTTAAACTTTTGAACGCAGAGAAACCGTTATCTTTTTTTTTGTTTTATTTTTATTTATTTAATTTTCTTTTTATATATAAATATTTTTGTTTTAGGTACCTCTAAAAGACCTGACGGTCTTGTCACAGAACATTGCGGAATAGGGTTTAGTTAGTAAGTTCACGTCTCCTTCCTTACCAATGGCGCAAAAAATGCTCCGACCATGCTTCGAACTCTAGATCTCTTGCATCTTTAATTTTTTTTTAATTACATTAATGTTATTTTGGAAAAAAAAATATTTTAGATAAATAATATTGTTAGTTATATTCAGTGAAAATTTCAGGAACATTGAATGCGTCGTTTAACATTTATAAGGTTGTCCTTAAACTTTAGGACACTACCAGGGCAGTGGAATTGGAATTGGAGTCGTGCAGTCGGAGTCCAATAGTAAAACTTCTCGGTATTGTATGTGCATGTACAAAATAATTAGCCTTCAAAGAATTTTTCACATACTTGGCATATATTTTTGGCATATATATTTTCATATATATATTTCATATATTAGGAATATTTCTTATATTTATAATTTTTTAATTTTTCAAAAATTTTGCTTTAGAGTTGGAGTCGGAGTAAGAGCCGTACTCTGAAAATTTTAACAATTGGATTCGGAGTCAGAGTTAGTGCTTTTTTTTACGACTCCACACCCCTGGACACTATTGTAAATACTGGTCGGTTGTAGCAGGGGTGGTGGAAGGAAATAAAAAGTGCGATGTGTATGTATGGGGGGGGGGGCTTTAAATATTTTGCATATTTTATAAAACTAATATAAATTTTCAATTATTCTTAACAGAAAACCACATGCATTCATTTTGAATAAAGTATAATATCAACTCGCGACGTTAGAATTATCTTGTTCTATCTCCACATTTTTTAGTTTTGAGATAAAGCGATTTAAAAAACAAAAACTTTAAGAGACGGCGTATAAATTTTCTTTTATAACTTATGTTTTTTTTTCGCAACTTTTTTACTTATAACTTAGGTTTCAATTCAGTTGAAAGAAATTATTTTGAGGAACAAAACACTATCATTAACTCATTTTTTTCAGAAAGTGGAAATAGAACAAGATAATTCTAACGTCGCGAACTGTAAACATATTTCACTAAAATTTAGAATTAAAAGATATATTCTTTTACAATCTACAAATACTTTAACGTTTTCCAAAGTAAGAAATTCTGGTGTCTTTACTTTTTCCATTTATAAAACCTTTTGCTATAGCTTACATCTATTTCTGCAGTGTTTAATTTATAAAGTTGAAGAAGCAAACACATCATAAGCCAGGCGAAGCCCAAAATATAATTGAAATGATAAAAGTTTATCAATTAAACCTTCTGCTTTAGCTCTGTTAGGACCATTTCAAAAATTTTTTGAAGCTCTAAAACAATTAATTGAAAATTTGTCAAAGTTGAACCATATGATTTGATCCTCGCGGTAAAACGAGTTGGACAAGGAGCACTTAAATTGGTTTGCTTGACATTCTCGTCAAGTATATCGCATTGTAAATTTTTAAACCTTACCAGTCTCTTTGGAGCTAAACAAATAAAAATATACAACAGTTCGTACAATTCCTTTCCCTCGTTCATACAACTGATTTTTTTACAAGCATCTTGAAGAATTTGGTTGAGCCGATGTGCGTAGCAATGTATAAAAATCGCTTCATTGACATCATCTTGAAATAGTTTAGCAACACCGCTTAGATGCCCTGACATTGAAGCGGCACTATCGTAACTTTGCCCCCGCACCATTTTCTTGTCTAGTCCACATTTTAATTAAACATCACATATTGCATAAAAAAGCGACTTACTGTCGGTAGCATCTAATGCCAGAAAATCTTCGACCAAGAAGAGACCAAGAAAATCTTCGCATAATTTAAAATTTTCAGACACTGATCGAACACATATAGACATTTGCTCAATACCAAAAATGTCTCGTAGTTTCATTGTATATTACAGAAAAAAAAAATCTCGATTAAATAGTACTAAGTACATTTCTTAGCACATAATTTGCCACTAGTTTTATCATCTCGTTAACAATATCATGAGATATGTACTAACTGTTTGACAGCTAGCTCGACAGAGGTGGATAATCTTCATTCCTCATTAAAAGTAACTGATTAAGTCTGTCTTAAATTTAATCATTTTGTTGAATAGCTAAGCCTTGTTAAGTAACACATTTTAATGTAGAGATTACACGAATTAAGCACTCATAATGCTCATCGCATTGCTTATCATGCATTTCACTTATCATTTGATGTATGGTATTTAAACCTGCTGCACGTAGTGTAAATAATTTTTCCTGTACCTCGTTATGAAATGATGATAGGTCATGTTTTCTCAGTGTTCCTACAGCCTTTTTCCAATTGTCATAACCAATTGTCAAAAAATTTTGTTCACCGCATTTTGAAAAAGAAACCAGATTTTTCTTAACAGCACCAATACAAATATAGCAAAACACGATCTTTTTGGAATAACATAGAAGAATCCAAGGGTAATCTATAATCTATTTAAGTTGTTTGCCATACTTTTTTTTGGTTGCTTCAAAGCAAAATACATAAAGTTATTATTTCAAATACAAAACTCTAACTGCTCCCTAGAAGCTTGTAAAACGTGATTCGGAGCAAATACGTTAAGTTAGTATTTCAAATACAAAATGCTAATTGACCACTAGCGTCTTGAAGTTGTGATTTTAAACAAGATAAAAACTTTTAAAATTATAATTTTACAGACTTGAAAAGAATATGTGTGTGTTTGTGTATGTATGTGTGGGGGGGGGGCGGGCTATAATACCAAAAGCCCCCACAATTTTAAAAGTAAAGGGATTAAATCCCCCAAAGTCCCTATTGTTCCGCCACCCCTGGGTTGTAGCCTTTTTGGGAGTGAATCCATTTAAAAAAGTATTTGTATGTGTTTTGTATTTTATTTCTCATGTTTTGGTTACTTGAGCTGGAATAAATATCAACTTTATCAAAAATAAAAAGTAGTGGAACAATTAGAGTTCAACTCATTTTTTAATTTTTAATTTTTTAAACGTTTTACAAAACTAAAATAAAATTACAAATTATCATGCAAGTGTTTTTGTAAAGTTTAACTTTTCTGAATTTTTTTTTTTTTTTTTTTTATTTGTCATAGACCATTTTTTTTTTTGATTTTGATTGCAGTCATTTGTCTAAAACGAATTAATTGCTATAGTTATTTAAATATGAAAGTTTGGAAAAAAAAGCAAAAAAGTTTAATCATTACTGTCCTAAAATATATATATATTTTTAATTTATACAAGGAAATCATGTGCAATCTTCCATGTTGCCTTGTTTGAAGTTTTTAGTTTTAGTAATCTGGTTGAACGACTTTGACGACAATTAAAAAGGTAAAACTTTTGTTTTTACACTAACTGATCAAGCGTAGATAATCTAAATTATAAAAACGATAGAAAAATGCTGCAAACGATATTACATTTGTAAAAAAAAAGTGATCGCGCTAAAAAAATGCATGTGATAATTTCAAACCTGTTCCTTTTTATTCTTGCTACAACTGTAGAATCAAAAGCAAAAAACAATGATAACCTTACGACTTATCAAAAGATGGTTGAAGTTATTAAGCTGTCAAATAAACCCTTTTTGAGTGACATCGACAAAAAAGACAATCTTGTTGAATGGTTTTCAAGTGAATCTTCATCAATATGGGAGCAAGTGAAAAGTTTCACTGATGAAGTTATTCTTCCGTTAAATTTTACTTCCACACTTATCAGGTTAGCCATTAATCCCAATACTTTATTAGGTTAGTCATTTTTTTCATTTATTTTCCTGGTTACTCATTATTCCCTAAAATTTATTTGTAATTATTCATTTGTAATTGGCTTTTTCACTTTGTAATGATCATCCAAAACCATATTTTGAAAATCTGGAAAACTTTTGCAAAAAAACTTTTTTTTTGCAAATATTTTTTAAACTTTTTTTATTTTTTGTATGGGTAATGACTGAAAAAGTTAAAAAAACAAATATATTGCAATAACAAATCTAAATTTGTATTTACGGAAAATTTTTTGGAAATCCGGAATAAATAAAAGTTGAAAGAAATATCCAAAAAACCTGATAAATCCGAAAAAAAATTATCTCTTATAGTTTTCTTTTATTCATTTTTCAGCAACACCGCCGATATTATATATCCAGCAAAACTTAAAAAAAGTATACAACCAACAAAACTTAAAAAAAAAGGTAAAAAAATGAGGGGAGTATACTAAATACAAAGAGTATTCAATATCTCTTTGCAGACCTACGCAAAAATTTTTTTTTTGAAAAAAATAATGCAAATATGGTAAAACCAACGTTGGGGCAACGTTAAATAACGTTATTTTTTAAATCGTATTGTCTCTGGAAATGGAAAAGATGGACCTCAGACTTTCTGACGTCAGCCAACGTTGTGATTTGTTGTTTGATCTGATTCGAATATTAAATTGTATTGGTTTAATATCAAGTAACATTTTGAGATTTTGAACGTCAGGTACCGTTGTAATTCAGAGGAAAAATGTTGTGTTCTAATGTTGCTCAATGCAATTTGAATATTAAAGAATGTTTTTTAAACGTTTCATTAAAAATTAAAAGCGAGGAACGTTAGAATAACATCGTTTTAACGTTGCTTACAGTTTTTATAACGTATATAAATTTTGTATTAACATCGATAAACGCCGGAATAACAACATTATCACGTCGCTCAACGTTTTTCTAACGTTAATTAAAGTTGTATCAATATCGATCAACGTTGGAATAACATTATTCTAAAGTTGTTCATTGCTCTCTGGCGTTTGTTAATTTTGGATCAACATAACCCGGTGGAAAATCGGCTAGCGAATAGCTAGCTATAATCGTTACGATAAAGACAGCGACTTGGCCACGAGGATCGCTAGCTTTTTTAAGTTAGCGAAAAGCTATCGATATTGGTAAAGATAAAAAATACGAATTAGCAACGAGGACAGCTAGCTTAATAAGCTAACTCACAGGCTATTGTAGCTACCGTCATTTTGTAGCTAGCTACAAAGCTACGATATGTAGCTAGCGACGCATTGCTACAAAATCGCAATGTTTAAAGTTCAATTATTCTCATAATTATAACAGACTCAACATTAAAAATCAAATTTTTAAAGATGTTAGACACATTAGTAAAGAATAAAATAAGAAAAAAAAATCGCTAGAAAATCGCTATAAAGCTAGCTAGTCGCTCGCTAGTCGCTAGCTCATTTCCCACCGGGAGATTAACGTTGAAATAACATCATTATAACCAGGGCTGTGGAGTTGGAGTTGTACTCAAAAAATTTCAACAACTGGAGTCGGAGTCATTACTTTTTTTTTACGACTCCACACCCCTGATTCTAACGTTGCTTAACGTTATCCTAATGTTAATTAAAGTTAAATTGATATCAATCAACGTTAAAATAGCATCGTTCTAATGTTGTTCCACGTTAATTAATGTTGGATTAACACCGATCAAAATCGGTGCACACCGCAATTACTGAAGGCTAAAACGTTAAATAACATCAGGTTTGCTTGCCCAAAATTACAAAAAAATTGTCAAAAAACTTCGCTTTGCTTATAAAAAAAAAAACAATGCTGAAACGGCCGATTTATTTATAAACAAAACGATTATGAAAACTTACCATGTTGCAATGTTTTTTTGTTAGCCTGAAAATTTTGTTTATTAAGAAATGTTCTGAGAAAAAGATATTTTCTTTATCTTATCGCAAACGTTTTTTTTTTTTGTTGTTACATCCACATTTACGCTGTGCACATTTGATAATTTTACAAATAAAAAAGAAAATCATTTACATTCATAAAATATCTTTTATAGTTTAATTGCACTGAAACATTCATAATTTTGGTTAAAGGAGATTTATTTTACATATAAATAAGAATTTCTACATGGAATGGTTGTTAAACTCAGATAAAAACATAGTTACTATATCTTTCAACCCTATTAGTCATTATAAAGCTTGTCCTTTTGACAACCATTTAACTTCTGCATGTAGTAAATCTATTCATAACCCTCTCCCATATCTTTATACAAATTTGTAAATAAACGACTAATAAGTGCACAAAATTTTATGAAATTTTTAATACGTCTGGCATTATTTAAAATCACATTAGGATCTGGTGATATTTTTTTAGCTACAAACGCTGCTCAATGAACGATACAATAGGTAAACATGATATGTCCATTTGTGATAAATTTAACTTTTGTTAGAAAACGACACGATACCCTTTTTATCGCTGCTAAAAAAAATGTATTCTTCTGATGTATAAATTTTCATTGGCCAACAAAACAGTAAATTTTCATGTATATCAAAGGTGTAGCTGTATTGAACATCAAATAATAATTGAGCTAAATTTGTAATATCTGTCAATTCACCCAGCTGATTTTCAAATTTTTTACTTGCTTTAATTTTTTTTATAAGTTGTTGAAACTGATCACAGCTTATATCTGAAGTCCTTCTAGTAACTTTATCATTGGATAGAGAAATTTTCCGCTTTAACTTTTTTTCATAAATGGTTTCTGTAAGTGGAAAAACAAGTTTTTCTCCAATTGTATTATACAATGTTTGTTAAAAAATTATGTATTATACAAATATACAATTTGTATATAGTTTTTAGCCTATGCTATTAGATGTAATACTTTGTGAGATGCTAAAAGATTTCAGAGTAAAGACATAATTTTTTAACAAACATTTGCTTTGATATGAAATTTATAAAAGTAATAAAATATTTTTTTATATTTATAATGGCAATTTATAAAAGTAATTATTATTTTGCATATTATTTATTTCATGAATTCATAATAAATTAATAAAATATTTGAAAAAAAGATTGATCTTTAACTAGTTTTTCTGTGACCCTCAAAATATTACCTATATATATATATATATATATATATATATATATATATATATATATATATATATATATATATATATATATATATATATATATATATATATATATATATATATATATATATGTATATATATATATATATATATATATATGTATATATATATATATATATATATATATATATATATATATATATATATATATATATATATATATATATATATATATATATGTATATATATATATATATATATATATATATATATATATATATATATATATATATATATATATATATATATATATATATATATATATATATATATATATATATATATATATTAGGCCGGATCATAAAAATTATTTTTTTTTAGAATTTGTGAAAAGTGGCGTGATATAGTGTTGTTTAATATTTACAAAAAAAATATTTCTAAAGAATTGATTATACTTTGCATTTTTAAGTTTTAAGGTTTTATAAGCTAAGTATATTTACTTTAGTACATGCTAGTACATGCAACTGAAACATGCATTTAACCCTAATACTATATATAATCTCAAGGTTATGAAATTGAACCAAACCTATACCTACCTAACTAAATTACCCTAATGATATGATTAACTCCAACGCTATAATAACTTTATATTATTATATTATTATTATTATTATATTATTCTATTTTTATAAGATTGTTTATTAATTTCTGCTTTTATCAACTGATTGCAGAATTTATCCGTCTCATCTTGTATTTTTAGAAATTAACTGAAATTCTGATATGTTATAAAATTGTAAAACAATAATGATTTCAAGAATTAAAGCTTCAAAGAATCGTCATATACTTTTTGGAGAAGGTTGTGAATTACCCAATTTTTGCTTGTCAACCCACAAGCAAGTAGGCAAAGCATACTTGTCTGAGAAAAATTATGAAACTAAACCACTACGGTCTGTTTGTAAGAGACTAGCAGAGAAACTTTCTCAGATATGGATTAAAGCATCAGTTCCTACTATAAGTCTTCGAGGCATAGAATTACAGCTGGAGAAGTAGATAGGCGATGTTCAGAAAGTGATTCGATCAAAGTCTGCAACAGTCAAACAAGATGAAATAGAAAAAGATCTTGACACATTGTTTGACATTTTTTCGTGTAAATGCAAAGAACTTTCGTCTTGCTGCTGTCCAATGGTTCTGAAGGTGGCAGCAATTAAGCATGACTTCCTAACTGATCAACGCACTATACGTGTTTGCAGAATAGCTGAAATCGACAAGAAGGAATCCGCACGTGCTGAGAGGCGTTTAAAACGAAAATCTGTTTCATTATCAAAAGAAGAGACTGCAGTTAAGTGTGCTAGAGTCGTTGAAGCATCTAATAATGAATCAGATAATGAAACAGACAACAATTCTGACACCGAAACTTATTCCCCTTCCGTATCAGATGTCGATACCGAAGTCACATCTACTCGTCTGAAAAACCGTTGTTTAAAAAATATTGCTCTACAAGCAGATGGTTTTGGCATATCAGATAGAGCAGTTGACGCGATTGTATCAGCAACTTTGGTTGATTTATGGGGCCATATGGGGCCATTGGATCGGAATAAAATTCGCAGAGAACGAAAACTAATGAGAACATCCTGTAAAAATGCTGATTGTAGAATTACTGGATTGTATTTTGATGGAAGGAAAGATCAGACTTTAAAACTTGAGGGGGATAGGCAGACTGTGATTTCTGAGGAACATATTTCCATTTTATCGGAGCCAAATTCAAAGTATGTTGATCATTGTACGCCAACAAGTGGGTCGGCCAAATCCATTGCAGATTCAATAATTGATACTATTGACTGCACGAACCTTGTTTGTATTGGTTCTGATTCAAC